TGCATTAAATACTGATACGTTAAATGCACTAGCCTCAAAATGTCTAGTGATTGAAGTTCACAAACGTTTACCACATATAAATGTATGAAAATGCATGCATACACATACTACATAACATTAATGGTTTAAATCGTTTGTATCATATTTACTCTTTGAGTAAAGCATTCAGTAGATTGTTATGTTTAATTTATTAGTGAAGACAATCAATCCACTCATGGCTGTTTTACTTGTGCATTTTTCAGTTTTCCTTACTTGTGAGTCTCCCTAGGGAATACAATGCATTTGTTTTAATAAACTTCTCAAAATACAAGGCACATTTCCATACTATGAATTTTCTCCCCAGAAGTGGAAATGTTTAATGCATTTAAGATGTTACAAATGCTGATAATGCAAAAAGGGGTAGTTCAAATGTTGTTGCCGGTTAGTTAGTAGCATTTAGCCAGAAAAATAAAAATATATAAACTTTGGGTATACTTCTTTGAATTACAAATACACATGAGAATACTTTCCTATCATCTTTTTGTTTTTTAAGAAAAGAATGTTTCAATGGGATTAACTTTGGATTAACATTGTCCTGGTCTAGTATTTTTTCCAAAATGGTAAAATTGCGCTTAGAAGTTCTTACTTTTTAGGCATAATGCACATGTATTTACAATTGCTTTCTTTATCTTGAATGCATATTGGTTATGTGCCGACAAGGTCACAGTGAGAAAGATATGCTCAAGAAGCAAAACTATAAATCATTCATTCAGTTTGCGTATATTTAAATTGTTTTTTTTTTCTAAGTCAAATGCAACTATTTGGGTCTCACCGAGTTACTTCTTAATACTTATATAAAATTGTATTTCAAAACTAGTTTGCATTCTGCCCTAAAGATAAAAATCAGGAAGTTGGCCAAATACACTAGCCAAATTGCACTCCTGGCACAAGAGGGGAATATTTAGAATTCCTAAATAACTCTTCCCTTAATTGTAAAATGGACACAATTCTATAAAAAGTACGAATGTTATTGGAACTCTGTTGCTAGGATAAATTTATTCCAAACTGGTATTTGTTATCAAAAATGATTTATGACATGTACTCAGTCCAAATAAGTGTAGAGAGCACTACAGGGGGCATTGCGTTGTAAGACTCTACAAAGAGCCTTCTTTCTTTCATTAACTTCCACTTCTGGTTGCCATGGCATCCTGTGACAACCATAAATTTTGGAAATTATCACCATCTGCCCACGCCCCCTTCTAAGGTTACACACAAGCCCACTCAAGTGACCAAAATAACAAATAAAAACTTGATAAGCAATCTCAAAGTTTTTCTTTTAATTATAGATACCTAAGTACATAATATTAGGGCTGGGAAAATACTTAAAAAAAAAAAAAACATAAAGATAGTCTTCTTTTTTTCCTGAGAAAACAGATGCCTCCAGGAAAGATTATCATTTAATTCCAATGTTCAATTCTTGAAAAGAAAACATGAGGGAATGATTAAGAACAAACTCATAGATTTTTATAAATTTGTCAAAATTAATAAATTTTCTTTTTCACAGGACCAATTTTGGCAACGTCAAAGGTAAGTTTGCATTGTTTATACTTTTCAAATGGTAATACTGTGAGTCCAAAAGTACAGGTCAATGTTCACAGTAGGTTACAATTTAAATTTTAGAAAGGATTTGGGATTTTAGGGACAGGGGTTGTTTGTTTTCTTTCTTTGTTTTCTTGAGGATTAAATGCTGTTTGTTTGTTTTACTAGTTTTAGAAACATGATTTCCAGGCCTTTTAAAGATACTGATATAACTATAGACTCTTGGAAATACATTTTTAAAATTCCAAACCCACAGGTTAAAAACATAGTAGAAACATCATCAAACTACTTTGCTTAATATCAACAATACTGATATGTAACTTCTTCATTAAGTTTAAAAAAATAACTAACACACTTCACATTCCCCATCTTAGAAAGAAAAAAAATGTGTTTTTTTTTAAAGAAAGTCATGAATATAGAAAAGAAAGTAGCAAATATAAATAAAGTCCTGGCACATAAAATTCTATATATTCATAGTAAATCATATTCCCTGAATACACTAAGTTCTCCTTGGGAGAAAAGTGTACACTCTTTTGAGAACTATAAGATTTCTTTAAGACCATTGGATTTCCAGTTAATGTTTAAAGTGAGTAAATAATCCAAGGGATGGAAATATTAGTCTGTGTTCAACTAAAATCTAAACTTCTCCATCTAGAAAAATTTTGTGCAGAAAAAGCAATCACATCAAATATATTAAGATAACAGAATTCATGTGCAACAAATTCCTGGCAGGTATAAATCTTTGGATAATCTCTGAAAGTTGAAAGTAAGTGAAATATATGTGGAATTTATAGGAGAAAGGAAAAAAGAGAGGGGAGGCAAACCATAAGAGACTCTTAACTCTAGAGTACAAACTGAGGGTTGCTGGAGGGAAGGTGGGTGGGGGGGTGGGCTGAAGGGATGATGGGTGTTAAGGGGGGCACTTGTGATGAGCACTGGGTATTATATGTAAGTGATGACACACAAATTCTACTCCTGAAACTAATATTACACTATATGTAAACTAACTAAAATTTAACTAACTAAAATTTACACTACATGTAAACTAACTAAAATTTAAATAAAAACTTGAAACAAACAAATAAAAAAGAAAGTAAGTGAAATAGCTAATAGTAAGGCCATGCTCCCCATGTCTTAAAGTCATTCGCTGGGCTCTATAGAGCACTGAGCTGTTCAAAACCTACTTTTCAGTCCATTTTACCCTCTTGATGAGCCTCTATTTCCTCATCTAAAACAAATTTTCTAGAACATGACTCTTTAAGGTCTTTTTCAATATAATGCATAATAAGCTTGAAAGAAATTCTGTTTTCTGGGTTCATGACATACTAAGAAGAACAAAAGTAAACAAACAAACAACAACAACAACAACAAAAAACATGTTTGAGAAGAACATCACAGCAACTAAAATACATGAAATTGATCCTACTTCAAAAATGAATGTCCATAATAATGAGTCAAGTTTAAATTATCTTCGGTGTCTCTGTTCACCAAGCCAGGGAATTATATATTTCAGAAAGGGGTCTATGGAAAATAACTTAATATTTTGATTTTCAGTTTTGGCATATGATCATCACTTAGAAACTTTACTTACCCTAAAGTTACATGATGCTGTTAACTATGTGAGGTGTTGCTATACTTAGACTGTGATGAAATCATCTTATTTCTTCACTATTTTGATAACAAACTATTTATTGTCTTCCCCTCAAAAGATTAAATGTTGATGATGTTGATGATTTGGAACCAGATCTTCCCTATCTTAATATGAATACAATCTAAAATACGTTTCACCCATAAGATAACTGCAACGCAAAATTTTCAAATACAGAATAATGATTATTAAAATGATTTTTTAAAATCCCCATAACACAGTTCATTGAGAAGTTAATTAAGTCAACAATTCTTTCTTCTAGCACACCTGAGTCTTTCAAGCATAAAACATGAACAGTTAAGATTTTAGTTACATCTAGGCTATATGGTACCAAAAAATCGCCAAATTTTCAGATCAGGAAATTTTATCTAAATAAAAACAGTTAAATTTAACAAAGCACTGCCTATTTCTTTTCTGAATCTCAAATTTAGAATTAGAATTTCAGCCAGTAGGATTCAATCACTTGAGAAACACGACTAATTAAACAAATGGAAATGATGATACTCGTTCTGTAATTGGGTCATTTTCAGCTATTGATTTCATTTTTCTCTGTCTCAAATTTTCATCTGCAAAATTAGCATAAAAATACAACTCTCTGTGGCACTTTAAATAATTTGCTGTTAAGTATATACCATGGTACCTTACTGGAAAAAGATTAAATATATAAAATGAACAAATGGTTTGAAATTCAACTCAACAGATGTTTGATAAAGGTCCACAAAGGTGAAAGAACTGTTCAGGCATTCTCACAAAAATAAAGTTGAATTAAAATAATCATGCCTTCAAAGAGCTTTCTACCAAATTTGGAATATGAAATCAGATTATCCATAATGGTATCATAGCATAGAGAAAGAGAAATGTTACAAAATAAAAGAAAACACTGATACGGGAATTCAGAGACAAGAGGAAGACTCTCTCCTCATCTTGCCAGATTATTCTTCCTGTATCAGTTTGTGTTACATGGCAATTGTGTTTATATGTATATCTCCTCAATAATCTCCTGGTGATGGTAAGAATGAATATAAATAAAATCACTGTAATTATTATTTTAATTTGCTCATTGGTTTAGATGAAACATGGAAAGTGGGCAAACGTGTTAAGTAAATAAAAGACTCAATGAACACATCCAAGGGGTAGAATCAAATGAGTTATTTTCGTATATAGTGCATTATTAAAGTTGTTTGTGGTATGGAACTTATGCAGTCAAGACTATTCTTTTTTCTTGCACATTTTTAAAATTCCAGAAGTGACCATCTTTCAGATGTTTCTAATGGAAATGTATTCACACTGTAGTTTGAAAAAATAGAGGAGATATTTTATTGACATAGTTACTGTCTTGTTTGGGTGCATTTCAGTCTCTTTCGGAGTTCTTATGAATGAAAACATAAATTTAGAATCCAGAGACCTGAATTTGAATAACCACTAACAGTTACAAGCTAATTGACCTTGGGAGAGTCACTTGATTCTCTCCTAGCTTTGATTACTTACCAGGAAAATAGGGATAATAATTTGTTGTTTGAAATTAGTGAGAGGATTAATTAGAATCACTCCTAGCACTGTGCTCGATTTAGCTCCTTTCATTTTATTTTAAATGAAGAAATGATGATAACCCTAATGCAGTTTTGCAAGAAATTCTCATCGGTAACATAATGTTAGTGTGCACAAAACACAATTGATGGGTATAAATATCTATGTAAACATACATATACATATATAAGAACTATGACATTGGCTGACTTTTAATGTTTTTGGTATAAATGGGTAGTATTCTTACCTGTTGGTGGGATTATCCCAGGAGACATGAGGCCAGGGACAGAATGTGGCATGATATGAGAGTTCTCTGGGGAGGTGACACTTTGAGTCCTCTTAGGAGGCCTTCCAGGTCTAGAACTGAAACAAACAAACAAAAAATTTTTACAATTAAGCTGTTGTCTTACACATCATTTCAAAGTTGTTTCAAGTGGTAACATGGACTGTAAATAAATTTGTTTCAAGGACGGTTGCTTTTGCAGTTAGATGTAATAGACTTCCATCACTAATTAGATTACATGCTGAATTCATTTTCCTCATTGAAGATCAGCCACTCTTGATGCATAATTCATAGCCTGCACCTCGTTACCTGCTTCTTCATATTAATATCTATACACAGTTTGAATTGCCTCGTTTGCATATGCTAAAGTTCTGCATGCAGCCTTCAGCACGAAAATTATGCACTAACTTGTAATAATTATTACAGTCAGCCTGCTATTGATTTATGAGACTTTTAAAAACCAAATATGTGTAGTACTTGTAATGAATGATATTTTAAGGTTCTTCAGGAAATTAAAAGGCAATGGCTGCCTAAGGAAATGTTCTGCTTGTTTGATTTAATACTACAGTTAGCTGGGAGGTGGAATGAAAGAGTGATTCAGACCTATAGCACATTTTTCGATGATATGTTTTATTACTTCGCACTGCTAGCCTGATATCTAGATGATAAATGACAATACATATCTAATGTGTGAAAAGGTCTTGCAATTTCTTTATTTTTTGTCATTTAAAAGATAAGTCAAGTTATCATTTAACCCTATTCTATTTAAATGAACAGCCCCACTAGGTTGCTTTACTTTAATCCACTAAAATAAACTGGAAGGGCTTAGGATTATTTGCAGGACGTCGTTGAGAAACTGCCAGTATAGCATTTTATATCTGCCTTTAGGATAAATAAAAATACATTGTGTTTGTGTTTTAGCGGTACTTGTCCTTTACATGCCTATTTCATGAGATTAACTTTTAAAATTTTAAAAGCACAAGGTGAAAAGGTGGTAAGCGTTTACTATTTTTGCATGAGAATAACATGAAGAATATAATTTTAGCAATTCTTGAAACAAACACACTTAGCATTATGTTTCTCCTTTCTGCCCCTGTATCATGAATCCGCTTTTGTGAAATGTTTTTCCATCGTCTGGGCAATATGTGCCTAGACATCTCAGAACCACCAGAAAGAGCCTTCATAAGTTCACATTTCCATGTGAGCCTCAACTGAGATCCTTTGCCTCATCAGAAGATTCAAAGATCTTGCCTTTATTATTTAGTGTAAGTAATATATGTGATCATTTAACAATTATTAAGCACTTGCTGTTTTCAAAGCAGTACACTGTGGAGATTAATTTGGAAGAATGGGTTCTTTAGTCTTCAGGAGTTTATGCTCTTGCCTAAGAGGGACAATCTGGTGCATAAATAACTATGGCACATGCCAGAATGTGCTAAGTGTCATAAGAAAGTTGCAATCTGAATACTGATTGGAGGTTAGGCTAGATGATGATACTTCCATGTTGAGGGAAGGGAGATGAGATTTCATGGCAGTAGAAGCATTAGAAGAGTATTCTGCAGGATGAGTTAAGTAGGCATGGAGAGGAAAATAATGGAAGAAAAGTGCACTCCAGTGAGAATATGAGAGATGAATGGAAACATGCCAAAGTATGAATGTACAGGATTATCTCCATTGAGCCAAAATAGGTCAAGAAAGATGAGGAGCGAAGAGGGATAATGCTAGATTTACTGCCTGGGGCCAGATCCTGAAGGGCTTTGAACCAAAAGCAAGGAGACTGTGAGTTTGTTTTGCTATTCCATAAGGACATTCTCCCTTATATTATAGTATCTGTCTGGCTACTTATTCTTATTTGTCATTATTATTCTTCATCTTCAGCTGTTTCTTTAACTCTTGTTATGTTATGTGCCTAGGGTTAATCAACAGCCCTCTGATAGTCTCCGTTCTTCCTGAGTAATCCTGCTATTGATATCCCTGAGATGCTAAGGAATAATGGCTAAATGTATATCTACAGCCTAGGTCTTCCTCCTGGGATTCACATAGATTAATGCCTGTCTACTGGAAATCTCTGTTTAGATGTTCTTTAATAATCTAAGACTCAACTTGTCCAAATCTGAACTCATCTTCCCCATTAAAACCTCTCTCTCTTTCCCTGGTTCAGCAAAATGGCACCTAACCAACTAAGCCAAAAATCCAGGACTCAGCTGTTTCTCCCCTACTCCCCCAACTTCCCCCCTGTACACCCAAATATCATCCCAATGAAGATGTCTCTCTGAACCATTCTCCTTTCTCTATCCCTACTTCTATCTTCCAGGTCAATCCCTCATTTCTTATTTGACCTACTATTACAGCCTTCTGAACTCCTCTAAGATCTACCTCCAACTTCGTTCCACTATAAAGCCTAGAGCCCAGAGTCAAGACAACTCTCCATACTGATCTCAGAAGGATTTTTCTAAAATGCAAATTTGATTCATGTTTTCCATTTGCTTAAAAATATCAGTAGTTCTCCATAAGATTCACACTCCTTACCACGGCACCAAAGCCTTCCAATGCTTGGCCCCTGCCTACTTTTCCAATCTCACCATTTTATTCTTACATTCATGGCCCCCCTAAATGAAGTGTGTCACAAGTTGCTTTGGTCTCCCATTACACCACCTTTATAGATGCTGCCTCCTTTGCCACCAAGGCCTTTTCTACACCAACTCACCCTCATCCCCATTCACCTGGCTAAACTTGGCTAAACTTTAACTATCCTTCTTACTAACCACTTCTAGTTAGTATGCTTTCTATGCACCATGATAACCCATGGTGAACAATTCTATTATAGCTTTCTCTGCACTGATCATAGTAATCTGTGCATTTGTTTTACTCTCCAGCATACATGGCAGAAAGTGTATAAAATATATCTTTGTGTCCTAAAAACTTAACTCAGTGCCCGGATTACTATATATATTTATTTTCTTTCTTTTTTTCTTCTTTTCACTTTATGTATTTAAATAAGTTTTAATCCAACTTAGGAAGCCCTTTCTCCAAAATTCGTCAAGTATTCTACGTCATCCATTCCAGTGGTCTTGAAGTTTCCAGGAAATGAAAAGTAAGGTATGACAAAAGCTTGGAATTTTGAGTGTCAGGATAATCCTAAATTACATCAGAGGTAGGGATCCGAAGGGGTATGTGCACCCCGATGTTTATAGCAGGAATGTCCACAATAGCCAAACTATGGAAAAAGCCAAGATGTCCATCAACAGATGAATGGATAAAGAAGATGTAATGTATATATACAATGGAATATTATGCAGCCATCAAAAGGAATGAAATCTTGCCATTTGCAACAATGTGGATGGAACTGGAGGGTATTATGCTGAGCGAAATAAGTCAATCAGAGAAAGACATGTATCATATGATCTCACTGATATGAGGAATTCTTAATCTCAGGAAACAAACTGAGGGTTGCTGGAGTGGTGGGGGGTGGGAGGGATGGGGTGGCTGGATGACAGACATTGGGGAGGGTATGTGCTATGGTGAGCGCTGTGAATTGTGTAAGACTGTTGAATCACAGACCTGTACTTCTGAAACAAATAATACATTATATGTTAAAAAAAAAAAGTTAGCAGGAAGGGAAAAATGAAGGGGGGGACATCAGGGGGAGACGAACCATGAGAGACTATGGCTCTGAGAAACAAACTGAGGGTTCTAGAGGGGAGGGGGGTGGGAGGATGGGTTAGCCTGGTGATGGGTATTAAAGAGGGCACATACTAAATGGAGCACTGGGTGTTATAAAAGAATTTCGGGGTGAAAGTAGCTTGCTCCATGAATCTACAAGAGTTCATTTGCCTTCTCCCCAGGAAAATTCCAATTGTGTGCTTATATTCTGCATATCATGGAAACTACATCAAAGTAATGTATGGTGATTAACATAACATAATAAAATTTAAAAAAATTTTTAAAAATTACATCAGAGGTCCAGAGAAAGAACACAGAGATACTGAGAGATCTCAAGCAAGATGCCATGGAGAAAGTGGGAAAGGAAAAGGAAACTAACATTTGAAAGTTTTAGCCCTTTAATTTGTTTTGCTTTTAAAGAAAATGCAACTGTTTAAGAGTACTTTATTATTTAGGCCACAGGAGCTATCCTCACTGCCCTCACTCTGGAAGTGGAAGTCAGGCTACTAAGTAGGAACACGTTAGTTCACGCTGTGATTAGAATAGACCCAGTGGGCTCCTTTCACCCCAGATATCTCCTGCCCAATCTATCACACTGCCTCCAATTCCGCCAATAGAGATTTACTGCTTTCAGTCTTGAAGCCTTAAGATCTTTTAAAGCCTTCCATTAAAATGCAAATACCCCTGGTGGTAGTAACGGCCTAAAGCCATCAACTAACACCCTACTGAGGATTACTTTACAATTAGAAGAGAGTACAGTTTTGAGATATCTACTCAAAGAATGGAAGGGACTGGAAGAAAAGATTTGGAAGGATAGTCAAGTCACTCACACTTGAATAAGAATTTTCCAGAATAAGAGTAAGACCACTAGAACCTCTCCTTGGAGTTATACATAACTTCCTGGCAGAGGGGAAGTTAGAAGGTTTATTTATTAACAAGACTTTCCTCTATCCTCCATGACCTATAGTTCGGTTAGTTCCTCTTATTGAAGGGTTTGGTGTTTTACCTTTACTGCAGTCTTAGTCACTAACTAACAGAGGGTTTGTCTCTAGGGAAGAGAACCGAATTGTAAAATACTTGAATATTTAAATTACTTTCCACAGAGCTTTAGGGAAATTCCAAGAGAACCATTGTGGTACTGTGGCCTTCTGGCCACACACGTATTGTCTTGATAACTCAATCTTCAAATGCTGGCTCTACCAATTTACTAGAAAGTGTGGCCTTAATCAAGCCACAGGTTAGCTGTAACTTCTCTGAAAACATCCGATTAAATTAGGACTTTTTTTTTTTTTTTTAAGTGGACCTGTTTACTTTGTAAGAAAGAAGTTATTCTTGGAAAGAAAAAATAAAAACTTAACCGAAAAGAAGAAATGAAACAATCAGCAAAAGCATTTCCTGTTGGAAGGATCAATGAATG